CAGTGTTGTCAGTGATGACTTATGGATTAGGCTTCTGGCCGTATAGGAAGCTCAAGGTCGCTCAGAGAGCTATGAAAAGGGCTATGCTCGAGGTTTCTTTGCGTGATAAAGTTAGAAATGAGATTATCCGCAGTAGAAGCAGAGTAATCAATGTAGACCAACGTATAAGTAAGCTCAAGTGGCAATGGACCGACCATATAGCTCGAAAATCCGACAACCGATGGAGAAGCAACGTTCTCGAGTGGAAACCACGTACTAGATGGAATGACGAGCTAGTGAGATATGCAGGAAGTCGATGGATGCAGGTAGATCAGGATGACAATGAACTATAAATATTATCTCATTGGTGGTTAAAAATAAGCTAAAACATTTATCATTTCTCGAAGAAGAACGGAGAACAGTCGAATTTTTTAAGTTACAGCCTCATTTGTTATTCCAACAGCTGCGTTTAAGTTTCTTCTCATTTCTAAGAATACGAGTGAGAAAGTAATCCGCCGCGCTGCTACAGAAGTCTCCTAGAGAACTTCACATGTTGTGTCGGAAATATTTTTATTTTACACACGGAGAGAGTCCGATTTCTCACGGTGTTTTCCTTCACCACCAAAACGTGGTAAATCAGTATAATATATAAAATTGCAGTTACGTTACAATTTGACTGGTTCCGGCGGGGATCAAGTTCGGGATGCTCGCGAACTTCAAGGTGAGCACTTACCTTCTGAGCTACCACTGCTCTTAGACAATATATATATATATATATATATATATATATATATATATATATATATATATACTAGCTCGTTGCAGGCAGACGTTGTTCTTATATATATAGTATTGTTTGCATTAGTTTTTTTTTATAGGATCGGGTGACAAACGAGCACACAGTCCACCTGATGGTAAGTGGTTACTGTGACCCGTAGACATCTAGATGCAGATGCGTTGTCACCCGTGAGGACTAAGATGGAATGCCTCTTTGCCTTCCCCGGTCGAGCCGACCCATTCGTGCTACAACCATAATATAGCTGCAGCATGGCTCTACCACGTATAAAATATGCAATAATTGTTGAAATCCCACGCATATTGAGTTGCAATAATGATGAATCACAGTGGATTCCTCGTTTTATGTACTCATAACTCATGAGTTCCAGGAAGGCACAGACTTAGATGACGCATTTTGCATTCTACATTCTACGAAAAAATAATAAGAAGTGATAGACCATTAAAAGGTTATTTAATGATAGTGTAAATTAGACCATAAAATACATTTTTTTATCAAACTGAACTGATTGTAAATTTGTTCGTTACTTCAAATTTATATAAAAAACTATCAAATGTTAAGTATGTACCTTAGTTATGTATATTGTATTTTATATTATATGCATAAGTAGCTTTGATCTTGCTCTTTCGCTCGCGTAGGATTAGGTTTGTGACGAAAAACTTTATCAGAAATAAAAAATAAAAAAGTCGGGAAGCGAGTAGGAGCGCACATCCATGCTCTGTCATCGTGCCACTGAAGCTACGATTATTAAGATAAAATATAATAAATTTGTTATTCAATTTTCAATTTTATGTCTCAAAAACTATGGATTCACCGAATGGAGCCCATACAAAATGTTTAGTTTTACAACTTCTTGCATACAAATCTGAAGGTTTTACCCCGATTTAGCCCCTTTCAAGGTAAAACATTTAACACGACTTATGCGATCGACGAGCGAATTAGAAAATTTGTCTCAGTTTACGATTTTTTTCAGCAGAGTAGTACTCTCCAGAGTGTAATATCTTGTTATACAATAAGTGTGATACGCGAGCACACAGTCCACCTGATGGTAAATGGATGCTGTAACCCATAGACATTTATTCTCGATTAAGAATCAAAATACAGATTCGTTGTCACCCGTGAGAACTAAAACGGAATGCCTCGTTTCCAGTAAAAAGGATCTCCTGTTCTCCACACTCACCATACAAAACAAAGCAGCGACCCCGGTCGAGCCGACTCATTCGTGTCACGATAAGTATAATAAAGCTGTAGCGTGGTTCTACCATGTTGGTACACGTAAAATATCCACTTCAAACCATAATTTAAACGATAAAACACTATCAACAATACGTGGACGGATAAACCAGTGGCCATCATTACTAGTTGACGGAATAAAATCCATCCAAAAAAAAAAAACACTGATTTCAAAGTACAGTTTCTGATAAACAGCACAGCACTTACTTTACAAGTAATTCATACCACCTGCCTTCTTGGAAAGCTCTTTGTCCAGATGTGGTTAGAGTCTGCTTATGTCACGTTGAACTGTTATAATACTTGGTATTGTTGGCGTTCTCAGAAAAATATTGCTATGCTTTCATAATCGTTATCATAATTGCTATGGAGAACACAATTAATTAATATAGCCTTTAGTGTAAATGCTTATTTAATTTGAAGCTAACATTGGTCCCATTTTACCACATTAATCTATACATCTATACAAATAAATAAAATTGAAGTGTCCGTTTGTAATGTCAAAATAAAACAGCTTTATACTAAATGCATATGAAAGAATATACGGTACTTATAACTAAAATAGAATTTTTTAAATTTTTGTCTGTCTGTCTGTTTGTTCCGGCTAATCTCCGAAACGGCTCGACCGATTTTGACGGGACTTTCAGTGGCAGATAGCTAATGTTTTAAGGAGTAACTTAGGCTACTTTTATTTTAGTAAAAGCATTAGGGTTCCGCGCATAAAAATAAAAACCATAACACGCGAGCGAAGTCGCGGGAAAATTTAAAGGAATATGAAAATGGCTATATTTATGAAATCTTTTTAAATAAGCATCAAATAATATAATGAAATTTTATTATTATATATACATACGAGTGAGAAAATATATAATTTTTTTTTAATATACCACCTTTTTATCATATTCTGGCATTGTCATCCGAATTTGACCTATATGCAAATTATTAAGTTTCAAGCTCATCGGGAAGTTAGTTTAAAATCAATTACTAAATTCAACAACAACAACAAACAAGAAAATGACTTAATATAAACGTGGTAAAATATAATAATTTATACCACTAATATAAAATATAACATAACATTAACTCTCACCTAAAGAGATAGGCAGAGATTCCATTTGGCACTATTCTCCAAGCATGTGTTGTTTAAGGTCAATCTTAATTTGGTCAATTTGGTCGATAAACTTCCGCTTAAGGCGCCCCTTGCCGACTCAACTAATCACTTCTCTATCTAATAACTAATCAGTTTCTGCAGCAGGATTTTGCTTTGTCATTCTTTCTACGCCATCTAACCACGGAAGCATGCCAATCTTAATCCTGGTCACAGCATTTCTTGCAAATCACACATTTATCTTATCACGCAATAATTTCTTACCCTGTCATTCAGAGTCACCTATAACTTAATCCTAAATGATCTCATTTCTACAGCAGTTATTTTAATCTCACGAATATCAATATATATTCTATAATTTAAATATGAATAAAATAATAATTTAAAATTTAAAATTTGTACAACCGACTTCAATATAAATTATTCTTAATAACTCAAAAACTATTGGTCAGACCTTGATCAAATTTATATGAGATTACATGTGAAACATTAGATTTCAATAAAAAAAGAGTCATCGAAATCGGTTCACCCAGTAAAAAGTTATGAGGTAACAAACATAAAAGGAAATTACAGTCGAATTGAGTACCGTCCCCTTATTGGAGTCGGTAGAAAATAGAGCCCGCGGTGAATAGTAAAAATTATGCAGAAATAATTAACTAAATTATTGTTTTTTTTTACAATAATTAAGATATAGAATTACCGACGTAGATTCTCATGTTAAGAATGAACATAAAAACTGTGTAATAATTACAGTGAATGACGTCAAAGTTTAATGTATTCAAATAGATAATATCTTATCTATAACATATATACTTAGATTTTAAGAAATAATGAAAATCTCATTTAACTATAAACCTAAAACCGACTTAGTTCTAAGGCACTGATAATTACAGTAAATTCAATTTATATTACGTTTTTTTATGGGTTTTTCTATAGGGTGACAAACAAGCACACAGTCCACCTGATGGTATGATGGTAAGTGGTTGCTGTGACCCATAGACATCTACATCTTTCCTCAGTTACGAATCAAAATGCATATGCGTTATCACCCGTGAGGACTAAGATGGAATGCCTCTTTTCCAGTAAAAACGGTCTCCGGTTCTCTATACTCACCATACGAAACATAGCAGTGTTAAGCTGCTATTTTACGCTGGTATTCTGTGAGAGCGTGGTCCTCCTACCGCGGTCGAGCCGACCCATTCGTGCTACAACTATACTATTAATATAGCTGCAGCATGGCTCTACCACGTATAAACGTAGTAATGTTATTATAATAGTGTCAATGTGCCGAGACTCACACACACACACACACACACACACACACGCACACGCACACACACGCACACACACACACACACACACACACACACACACACACACACACACACACACATACAAACACACGCGCGCGCGCAAATTGCAAAGCAATGCACTCTAAATACCTACTCTATGTTTGATAAACTCGCAGCCATATAGAGGAGAAGAAAGAAGCGCTACGGAGCAATAAAATCTGAAGCGTGATATCAGGCTGTCTAACACATGTGGTACATTTCACGCGTGTAGGAAATGTGAAATCGATTGTGCACCGAACGTGACTGATTAACGATTGATCTATGGAACTAATCACTTGATCAACTAATTGCAATCTTTTCTGGTATCTGATATTCTCTTTATTTTTTAATTATTAAAAGAAACTACATGATGCCTTTAACGCGTAAAAAAAATTAAATGTTGTTAAACGTAAACGGATCTTATCGAGTTTAATTCCACTTTTTCTTTAATTCCCGAGTTTATGTGTGCTTTGCAGTACCCATGTGGTATTTTGTTACAAAATAAAATAAAATGTTTATAAAACCGCTCATTAAAAAACATAATTTTTGTACTCACCAGTCCTTGAATTCTCGGAAACATTTTTCTATATTTATTTAACACAGAATTCACGTAAATCACCAACCGTACACACAAAACAATATTCTACAGATAGCACAATAAACTTTTGTCACAAACATTCACAAGAGAGCTGAGGCATCGCGTAAACAAAACAAACGTTTCGGAGTGCCACAGGGGCTTGAGACCGATATTCTTGATAATGTACGTGCGCACGATTCACCGCGTTCGACGCGTCTGAATACTCTACTCGCCTACTGTATACAACTTTTACAACGCACAAGTGACCAATGATTCATATTTCATACGCAGACATTAAAGAGGGGAGGCTTGTCCCTTTATCTTTTATTATCTTTATTGCAAATACCAAGATTCCTACTTGTTTTGGCGACGGTACAATAAATAAGCCCAATAGCCTATTTAAAGAAAACGCTACGATTTAATATTTTAAATAGAGCGTTTTTATTTTAAATGTAAGCTTATTAATCTAAGGATTAGCGTTTAAAACTATTACACCTTACATAATAATCTGATTAATTTTTTTTTTGCTTTGCTTAAACAATGTAATATTTGGTATTGATCATAACTATATACAATGTAGAGGCGGTGTAGGAATATCCCATATTGTCTCGTTAATAACAACTCAAAATAACAAATAACTGTGTTTGCCAACCCGTCTGCCAAGTGTCGTAACTATGGCAAAATCTATGAAGCAATATAATTATTTCTTATCAACTTTATGCAAGAGTAGCATATTGATTAAGGCTACGGACTGCAAAGCTAATAATTCATGGACGTTGATGGTATTCGTCATTCGACCACTTTTTAACCACTGGTTTCCTATGCTCTAGTGAGCTCCAAATATTAACATCCTTTTTTAGTATGTCATAGAACATGAGTCTTTTATTTTTATTTTCATAGACTTTGATTTTTTTTTTATAGAATAAGGACGACAAACGAGCACACTGCCAACCTGATGGTAAGTGGATGCTGTGGCCTATAGACATTTACATCTATCCTCGACTAAGAATCAAAATGCAGATGCGTTGCCACCCCTGACGACTAAGATCGAATGTCCATTTCGAGTAAAAAGGGTCTCCGGTTCTCCGCACTAACTATACGAAAAAACAGCAGTATTTAGCTGCTATTTAAGCTGGTATTTATTTCATTTATTTGTAATAATAACCTTATAAAAATTGCAAAAAGAGGATAGATATCTGCGATGTTTCTTATCACGTTTCTTCTCCGTTTAGAGGAACTATTTCAAAATGATAGAGCGGTTATGAGAAAAAAAGGATTGATGTTGGTAAATAAAATTTTAATTTCTTATGTTAAAGAATTGAATATATTACATTATATTATATCTCATTACCAATCTCAGCATAAGCATCATGCTTCGTTGGACTTGCTAACGGGAGTTCTTGTGCAACAGCATTTATAAAATTCTTATTTTTTATCTAAACAAATATATAAAAATGAAGTGCCTGTATGTAATGTAATATATCATAACTATAACAACTTTTTACTAAATACAACTGAAAGTATATAGGTACGTTACTTATAATAAAAATACAATTATTAAGTTTTTGTCTGTCTGTTTGTTCCGGCTAATGTCCGAAATGGCTAGACCGATTTTGACGGGACTTTCACTGACAGATATCTGATGTATCAAAGAGTGATTTAAGCTATTTTAATTTTAGAAAAATAATTAGGGTTGCGCACAAAAAAATAAAACCAATGTAATTCAATCGTAATACTCTACATTCACTATATGAAAGAGTATTAAAGAACAGCATTATGCTGCTCTTTAACACTCTGGTAGTGATCTATGACAACGTGGTTCTTATTTGATCGCGACGATACATTCGCGATACAACTATAATAATCTATATTATGGTATCAGGTACAGCATGGCTCTACCACGTACAAAAATGAAATTATTTGAATTTGAATCAATACATTATAATCTGGACGTCTTCAAGGCAAGCGTGAAGAAGAGGGCTTTTGTTAAAACAAGGTGCGATTTACCATCTAGGGCTTTGTCACCACTTACCACCAGCACGGCTATCATGGGCTGGGGACAAAAAAATTATCCCCCGATTGTATCCATTGACAAGAGATAAAATCATCTTGTATTTATGCCAAAACACCGCAACGGGGAGACGTATATCCCCGTTTGACATAACGAGTAGACATAAATTCCCCGTCCGTAGCATGGAGTCAAATGAAAGATAAAAAATTATGCTTCTTTGACATTAGAAAGGGACAATTTTATCCTAGTTCATTGGACGTGGGTTTAAGATTATATTCATACAAAAAATCTATCTAAGTCCATCTACCATTTTATCTACTTTGGACTTACCTACTTTGGATATACCACCAGTATGCCCATGCTCGAAGGGTGGATAAAACTAAGCGAGGGGATAAACATTTTCTCCTTTACCCGGGGATAAAATTGTCTCTTACCCATGCTAGCCCTACAGAAGTGATTGTGGTCAAGCACTGGCTTATAAAAAGTTAAACTTAAAAAGAAGAAAAAAGGAAAAGTACTTGCTACATGGATAAAAATTTCTCATTTAAATAATCAGACAAAAATATCGTTTTAAATGATTTGACCGCGACTTCTCATGAAAGACTTGCGTCATAACTAGGAAAATGTCATGGCGCTTGATAGTTATATGTAACTGTTGCTTACTCCAACATATGACATTTGTTTACTCCAAATAATCAAGAAATGTCACTTCCATTATCATTATCATGTGCAGGCGGAACTCTCCAACAGTTTCTGTGACGAAACATGGCCATATAAAAGCGTAATTGTGAAATTAATTTATTTTAGCGGTTACATAATGTTTTTTCAGAATTAGAAACATTAATAATTACAAATAATAATAATAATTTATCATCGAGATAATCTCTTACTCGTGTTATTCATTCAAAACAACCATTTTGTGAGTTGATGCGTAATAAACATTGCAAAACCATTCTTTGTTAGTAAGCAATCCAAGGAATTCCGTTTCGAAATGCTCTGGGTGAAAAAATAATCAGCTTTATTTTTTTTTTATAGAATAAGGGTGACAAACGATCATACACATGCAGATGCGTTGTCACCCGTGGAGACTAAGATAGAATGCCTCTTTTCCAGTAAAAAGGGTCTCCGGTTCTCTACACTCACCATACGAAACACAGCAGCATTAAGGTGCTATTTTACGCTGGTATTCTGTGAGAGCGTGGTCCTTCCCCGGTTGAGCCGACCCATTCGTGCTACAACTATATTATTAATATAGCTGCAGAATGGCTCTACCACGTATAAATATATAAAATATATTTATTATTATTGTATATATTTCCACAAACTCATCTACACAAATGTCTGAGCAAATAGGCGAAATTAAAATAATAATCCCCGTGATGTGGCGTCGTAAGGAGTGTATCACTCCTTTTCGTCCACTAGATGCCTTAAAAGGCGATTATGGAATATACCAGAAAACCTTATGACTTTTGATAGATGTATTACCATTTTTTTAGGGTTCCGTATCCGAAGGACTAGGACACCCTCCACCAAGCAATGATTGATGCAAGGAAATGAACACGTTGAACTTTTTTTAACAAGTTGCAAGGCTTCATTACAGCTGCAAGCACTCTTTTTAGAGTTCCGTACCCAAAAAATAACCAACGAGACCCTATTACTAAGCCTGCGCTGTCCGTCCGTCCGTCCGTCTGTCAGCGGGCTGTATCTCGTGAGACGCCGTAATAGGTAGACAGTTGAAATTTTCACAGAATGTGTATTTCTATTGCCGTAATAACAATAAATAATAAAATAAATTAAAAATTGAAGGGGGCTCCCCTACTGGAAACATGTTTTGCGATGGTACGGAACCCTTCATCGAGTCCGACTCGCAGTTGGCCGGTTTTTTGCCAGATGACGAATCAGATCAAGAAATGATTTTAGGTCAATTAGATGGAATAACAAAAATCCAAACATTACAAGAATTGAGATAGATTACAAGAGACATAAATTCTCATTTCTTATATTTTTGTGTTTTTATCATATCCGTGGACCAAATGTGCAATTTTTTTTTATAGGATCGGGTGAGAAACGAGCACACAGTCCACCTGATGGTAAGTGGTTACTGTCACCCATAGACATCTACATCTATCCTCAATAAAAACTCAAAATGCAGATGCGTTGTCACCCGGGAGGACTAAGATGGAATGCGTCTTTGCCAGTAAAAAGGGTCTCCGGTTCTCTACACTCACCATACGAAACACAGCAGCGTTAAGCTGCTATTTTACGCTGGTTTCCTGTGGTCCTTCCCCGTTCGAGCCGACCCATTCGTGCTACAACCATAATATAGCTGCAGCATGGCTCTACCACGTAGAAATTTTGTTTTTAGGCTATTTTGCCATAGACTGTGTAAAGCCCGACTGTTTTCTATTTGCTTATAGTTAATGTGAAATAATATATTGATTTAAATTTACGTGTAATACACTCAAATAATACACTCAGCAATTAATGACTTACAACATAGTCCAACAATGACTCAACATGAGCACGGGGTTTACCCCAAAAACTTTTACCCTACTTTTTAATGAATTTCAATGAGTTACATTTGATTCTTGTAATTAACACTATGTTATACAAACACATAAATACTAAATTAATATGCAATGGGGAGATGCTTAATAAACTTGAGCGCATTCAGAATCTATGCATACGGTTCATATTTGGACTTCGAAAATATGGTAATGGTGGTATGGTAAACCTACTCCTAGATTGGAAATCTAGGAGTAGGTTTGGAGAAAAAATTTCACCTCTAAGAGTGGTAATACAAGGGATGAAATTTTTAATGGAACTGTTTAGAGAAAATTGAGATTGGTGATATTTAATAATTCACTAGAATGGTTAAAAATAAATTTAAATAAAAAGTTTTCCATTTTTCGGATTCGAACAATTAAAAAGAATAAAAGAATTTTATTTTCATTTCATATTTTTTGTACGTGGTAGAGCCATGCTGCAGCTATATTAGTAGTATTATTTCAGCATGAATGGGTCGGCTCGACCGGGGAAGGACCACGCTCTCACAGAATACTAGCGTAAAATTGCAGCTTAGCACTGCTGTGTTTCTCGTTTGGTGAGTGTAGAGAACCGGAGACCCTTTTAACTGGAAAAGAGTCATTCCCTCTTAGTCCTGACGGGTGAGAACGCATCTGCATATTGATTCACAAACGAGGAGAG